TGTTTCACTTGGACTTGGAGGTGAATATAACTTGTACAATTTGTATTACTAGTTTTTACACACGTGCAATGCACGTGATTTAATATCATGATTAAGTATTTTTGGCAGTTTGTGCTCATTTTTTTCTTTAAACTCTTACATCCCGATTATTTTTTTATGTTTGTTTAAATGGGATACACCCAATTTAAATTTTCATGTTGATATTTGAATTGACAAAAAACAAATATAATTTAAAAATAATTTGAATTTTCATATTATTTTTGACCGATATGAAACTAAGCTTTATTTGAGAAAGTATAGCATTGCAAAGTGAAAAATATTAAAATAGTGTTATACAAGGAAGGTGAATATTTAAAACCAATATGGCAAAATGATTGATTTAAAGTATGTTAAAACGATGCAAAAGAGAATATGAAGTTTATTCCTAATCATTGATAGACTTCATAAAAAAAATATAAATTAAAGATTAATGTTAACTCTAGTATACTTTTATATGATAAAAACATCCACATAAGAATATAAAAGTACTGAAAAAAATTCATGAAACTCCCTTCTAAAGATTCCTAATTTCACTCAAAATAATTAAACTATTCTATAAAATATTCATAAAATATTGTTTTTATTTCTTCTATTTTATTTTTTATTGAGTTAAGATCAATCCTTCTTCAGGTTTATCATTTATCATTTCTCGGACAATTCTAGAGTATTGTCTTCATCATCTACATCAATTGTGACATCAGGCTAATTTTGTATTTTTTATGCTATTATCTTTCCTAGGCTCGTTAATTTTTTATCATCTCATTTAACTTTACAAAGAAGTCAAATGTACTTATGATGTTCAACACAAACTGCTCAAAATATAGACTTTGATTTTTTTTCTATTTCAATGAGAATAAATATTAATTTCATATATATAAAATTCTTTGTGTTCCTAATTTATTACTTAAATAAATTAGAAGCTATCTCTTTATTTTCCTCTAAAATGAATTCTTCTGATGTGCATCCAATAAGAATTTCTGTTATTTCAATAATATTACCTTTGCTCTATCCCTGTCATTTTCCATAAAGATCTAAACTAAATACCTGCATTATTCATTACCAATTTCTCTTAGATTATAATATTAATATTTAATTTGAAGAACACAGTATGGAATTTATGAATACTTACTAATTTTTCTTATGTCTTCCATGGAGATTTTTTCTTTGATTAGGATAAAGTTATTAAATTATTTTTTAATGTAACTCATTCAGTGCTTCATTAATAGATATGTCTTATGTTAATGCCAATTCAAGTGATTCATTGACGTTTTCTGAATTTTAGATTTATTTCCATCACTTTCCCATTTGCAATGGAAATAACTCAATTCTTTTAAAGTTATCTCTAAATATTCTAATAGTTTCTTCATATGTAATTCCTTGTATTTTTTTACCCTATAAATATTATTAACGTCAAAGATTAAAGTTTCTAAATTAAAATCAATTAATTCTAAGGTATAATATTATAGTGTTTTATCATTTCTATGGATTTAAACATCTATCAATTAATGTTACGAATGTATTTTGGCTACCCCAACTTATTACTAAAATTATATGAAATTACTTTAATTTATATAGTGCCGATAATTTTTAATCTATAATATTTTTAAAAATTTTATCCATTAACCGGATGTTTTTAATCAATTCTTATTGTTTTTGTTTACCAGTATCAACTTAGACTATTCTTAGATGCTGAAAATGGATAGTAAATCCCTAAATTAGAAATTTTAATATATATATATATATATAATTTTATGTTTCATGTGTTGGTGGTAATTTTTTAAATGTTAGTATATTTCTTGTAACTCTAAAATTTTGAGGGTGTCTTTTGTAATTATTAAAACTATAGATTAATTTTGAAAAATATTAAATTTCAGCGGTCTACCAATCGACAAATTTGATGTGTGCTAATTAAAATTTTTGAAAATTTAGAGTTTTTTTTTACGATTTTTAAATTTTGAAGGAGTTTTTTAAAAAAATTGAGGTTAATTTTGGCAAATTTTAATTTTTTTGGTGTCTAAGGGTAATATCTTGAATTCATCGTATTTTGTTTACAAATTTTAGAATTTTAGGGTGGTTTTTTATAATTTGAACATTTGAAGGTGTTTTTATAATTTTTGAGATATTGAGGGTGTTAATTAAAAAAATTTAAATTTAAATGTCAAAAATTTTAGGTGTATCATGATAATCTCTTGAATTCATCTGTGTTGTTTGTAAGTTTTAAAATTTTAGAATTTTAATGTGCTTGTCTGTAATTTAAACTTTTGAGGGTGTTTCTATAATTTTTGAGACATTGAGGTGTTAACTGTAAATTTTAAATTCTTTGCAAACTGATGTTAATTTTTTAATTTCATGTTTTTTATTTTATGTTTTGAGACATTTGGATGAGTTTTATAATTTTGAACTTTTCAAGGTCTTTTATGCAATTTCAAAACTTTTTATGATTTTTTTGCAATACTTCATGTATTATAATATGTTATCTACTTGTATTTTCTTTATCTTAACAAACTAATATCATTTTTATGTTTTATATATTTTATTAATATTAGTTTTTTTAAATTGTTAAGCTAAACATGGTTCACATAGGATTAGGATAAGATATGATTATGATTAGGATAGATTAAGATATAAATAAAATATTTAAAATAGTGAAGGGTAATATTGACCATTAAAAATTAGAATTTGATTATAGATAAGGTAGTTCAAACTATAAAGGGGTATATTTGTCTAAAAAAGATTTTCCGAACTCGTGCTTTTAAAGGGAGTATGATAAGAATACATCACTCATATTAAAGGTTTAGCATAAAATACTCTTCCGTTTGCAAATTATGAATACGCGTAGTAATTAATTTTTTGTGTACTTAAATTTTAGAGAGGGAGTCGGGATATACTTTTTTGAATAACTATTCTTAACTTTTTTATTTTTAAAAAGGTTAAAATTGGTATGTCTTAAAAATTTAAAAGAATTAACCTCCTTAACCCTTCTTTAATTGCTAAAAAAAAGTAGCGGAAGTAATACTTATTTTGTTTGTTTCATATATTTTTAGAAGTAGCGAAAATAGTACTTCATCATCTTCTTTTATTTATTTGTTTATTTGGATAGAAATTGGATATATTATTTAAGATCATCTGCCCTTGGTAAATCTCTAATTTAAGTGGACCCTACTTTTTATCCACTTCCCCTCTACTTCTGAGCTTTCAAGGGCCGAAAAAAATCTAGGAAATAGAAGTGCCACCTAGACGCCACACCTGCATTTATGAAAGTAGCTGAAGTAGTTTTTTCGGAGAAACAAACATAATTTTTTGCTTGAAGTAGGAGAAACTTCCTCTATTTCAGTTACTTCTTTGCTACTTTCGTGCAAACAAACATGCCCTAAACTCGTATCAAACACCTAAAGTTCTGTTTGGCAAAGTATTAGTAGAGGGGTTAAAGAGGTTTAACACTTTAACCCCTCACTAACCTCCTCAACAACAAAAAAAGACCAACGGACTAACAAATCTAATCAAAGAGCTCATTTACCAATTAACAAATCTAAAAAAGTTACACAAGGGGTAGACTCGGCATACTGGAAAATATCACAACCAACTTAAAATATTTACGCATGGGAGAAAGAATTCATTATCAAGGTATGCTGTAGTTCTTAGGGGGGAAAAAGTGCGCTGTAGTTGAAGTATGAGCTAAAACCCACCTCACTGTGATAGGAATAATCATCAAAGAGTTGAACATGATGAATATTGATTTAAAACAAACATAATAAGTGTTATCACATTAACTTCTCTCCACACTTTTGAATGGCCAAAATATATAAATAAAATCCGAGTTTCCGGATATATGTATGCACACTCTCTTCATTAAAAAGCAATTTAAAATTTTTTATAAGCTTACTGATTAATAAAAATCCATTAGTTTTTTGTGAGATTATTATCTCTCTTTAATATTTAATTTCATCAAAACTTTTTTTTTTGCTTTTTATTTGTCAACAATCATTTAATTAAATAATACATAAATGATGGTATTTTTATAGTTTACATATATGTAAATTCAAGTTAAAATTTTTAATGTAGTAATTATTAGTTAACTTTGAATAAGGTTAAAATTGGTACTTAAAAAAGAAAATTAGAAGATTAACGTCCTTAACCCTTCTTCATCTGCCAAACAAAAAAAAGACTAACCTTCATTTCAACTATCTAAGCTAAATGGAACTGCATTTATTTTTAATCTCTCGTGACGGGTTAACTAAGTTAATCTTTCTCTTTTAACCTCTTGCCAAACGGTACCTAAACTTTTCTTTGTTGATTCTCTACGTGTAAATGTCAAATAACTAACATGGCATGGCTTTCAAGGTGGGATATGGAAAATCCTAAAGCCTTTTGCCATGTCTAGAATATTTTCCCTTTAAGGGCTGTTTGGTTGGGAAAAAAAACAAAGAACCCTATTTATAGAAAACACATTTTAAATAATATACCTTAAAACTAGAAAAAAAAAAGATGTGATAAGATAATATGTCATTATTTTATTAAATGATATGATCCATTTTTTAGGAAACTAATTTCATAGATATTTTTAAGGAAATGAATAGTAGCCATCTTTTGACCGAGGATCCCTCAATTTTCTTTAGAGGAAAAATTGAAGCCCAGCAGAGATTCGGGAGAGACTCAGGGATTGTGAGAGAAAAAAAAAATAGAGAAGGCGTCTATGACGAACCCCACAAATCACGGGGTGTTTTCTGTGAAAATTAATTGCGAAAATTTTACGCCACTAGCATCCCGCCATCCAAATCCTCGTCTTTCCTTTTGCTGTTTATGAACAGCATATCATACACTCAGGGTTGACATCTTACTTGTCCCCTCTTGGGTCCCATGATTTAGGGTCCCCAAAGAATTTTTCATATGGTTTCCCTTTTCAGCCTCTTGTGTCCCCACCCCCACCAATTCGCGCCCCCCAACGACGCTTCTTCGTCACTCTCTACACCCCCGAAACATTCCATAAATAACCAAACACTTCCCACGCAAATAGACAGTTTTACCCTCACCTTCTCCCCTATTTCCCTCCATGTCCTCATCCCCCATCGCGAAACCCTATCTCATCTACGGCGATCCAATGGAGGAGGGATTCGCCGAGAGCTCGTCGCCGTCGAGGCCATCCCCCCTCTCTCCCACCGACATCAAGGCCGGGATCTACGCGAGGCTCGTCGAGATCGGCAACGACGAGGCCGCCTCCGACCCCGACTTCTTCGCTCGGATCGAGGCTCACTTCGGCCGGTTGCCTCCGTCCGAGGTATCGGATTCTTGAACCTCGAGTCGAGTTCGCTGTGATCGAGTCCATTTGAGATTCTTGAATGATTTTTTTTTCCTTGGTTCAGCTATGGGCTGGATATGAGCGTTGATAGAGCTGAGGATGTTGTTCTTCATCGGAGAATTCTTGCGGAGGCGAAGGATCCGAGCAAGCGGCCGGTCTTCCATGTTCGATTCTCGAAGGTACTACTGAGTTAGTTAATTATTTAATGGTGTGTTTGGGAGTTTACTAAGGGCCTGTTTGGATTTGTAGGGGGTGAATGGAAGTTAAGGGAAACTGAGTGAAGGGAAGGGAAGGGAAGGGAGTTCCCTTCCCCTTGGTTAGGGTAACAATTTTTATACTATTAGAGGGTGAATCAAAGGGAACTAGGGTGAATTAACTTCACCTCCTAAGTGTTCCCAAACAAGGTGAATGGGGGTGAATGGTTCCCCTAACTTCCCTTCACCCTCATTCCCCTCAATCCAAACAAGAAGGGAAGGGAAGGGAAGAGAAGAGAATTGTAATATGTTGTTTGGGAGTTGAGTAAGGTGAATGAAGGTGAAAGGAAGTAAATATATGTAAATTTACGTAAATGACTTTATACTAATAACACATCAGCCCTTTTATTTGTTTTGATGGGGGTAAGAATGTCATTACACCCTTTTACCCTCCTTTACCCTCCTCTACCGTCCAAATCGGGGGGAAAGAAAACCAAGCAATTTTACCCTCCTTTCCCCTTCCTTCATCCTCTCTACCCTCCTTAAAAAAACTCCCAAACAAGGTGAAAGCCTTATTTCTCTTCCCCTCCCCCTCTCTACCCTTCATCCAAACAGGGCATAATTTAAGACTAGAAAGGTATGTGTTTGTTTGATTGATAGTTGATTAAGTTAATGTGCCAATCTTTGAGGCAAGATAGTAATGTGAAGTTTGTTTGTTTCCTCTCCGAGGGGAAAAAGTAATGAAACCAAAGTATCCGCATCAAAGTAGACCAAATAGTATAGACATAAGACCAATACCAAAATAGCTTAATATGGACAAAACCCGGAAGTGTACTGTAGTGATGTAGATGCAGTGGAATAGAAGTTTAAGATGTTACATGAGCAACTCAAGTTCAAACCCCGTGGGCCATTTCACGTAATTGAAGCGGATTTATAGCAAAAGAAAGTACCTCCATTTGATCATTTTTTGGTGCTGTTGAAGGAACCTTTAAGACGAGCCATAGCTTATAAAGTCCTTGTCGTGAGAAAATCTTGCATGATACATAACTAAAACGAGTGTTGTAAGGATCTAAAGTTCAAAATGTTGGTTAAGCTCAAATTGGTTTTGTTAGGCTGGAAAAGTCTTGTTCTAGTACAATGCTTAGTCTTTTAAGCGAAGGTTGACTAAAAAATATTTGAGTCATTCGATAACCAACCATTTGGCTTGATCGTGGCTCACTTAAGATACAGGCCTATCTTACTTCTTGACAATGTTTAGTATTCAATTTATTCATCAGAGTGCTGGTTCCGTTTGTTTGAAAATGCTACCAGTTTCTTCATGGCTTCTGCTTTTGAACACGAACTTCTGTATTGTTTTGGACTACCTACCTCATTTTGTGTTTCTTAGCATCGGAATATTTTTATGGAGTTATAGCTCATTCTCTCTCATTGGTCTTTGTCTTGTTGAATAGTTTCTTCAGACAAGAGGGGATGAGGATGATGATCTACGACAATCTACAAAAGTTTGTTCCACTTCAGAAAGGTGCAAGAACGCCAGAAACGGAGAAGAAAAGCCACCAAATTCCAGGTCCTTAACTCCTCATAAGTCAACTCTCAAATGCATCTTTGTATTTGCTGGCAACTCATCAATCCAATCATAATGACTGCACACAAGAAGTAATGAAGTCATTGCCCTTCCTCTTACAAACTTTCTGGATCTCCATGTCAAGCCTCTCATTGTTTTATTGGGAGACTGTTATAACAGTAGATTTTCTTCTTTACTAATTATTGATATTACATCCCTGAATAGGATCAAAGATCGCGGAATTGATTTTGAACCTTGCTCAAAGCTTGGGGGCTTGAATCTGGGAATGAGAAAAGGTGCTAATTATGTAGGAGATAGAAGCTCTCTCGTGGATGTTGGAAGGTATATGCTTCAAATTTCAGTCTTATCTCTTTGCTGAAGTATCTTGTTTCTGAAGGCTCATGCTAGATGTATCACGTTCTAGTTATATTTGAAGGACTCGGGATTTCAGTAGGTTTCTGTTATAATTTCGTCAAACAAATCTTTTGTTCTACAATGGGTGTACATATAGATAATATTTTTCTCCGTTATTTTCCTTGTCTGTTGGATAAATTTTAATATGCACGTCATCTGATTGGACACTGCTTGGAATTTTTGAGAGCTGGGGGCAAGTTTCAGCACTTGAACTTCTAATTCACGAGTCCTCATTTAACTTGTGGCTGCAAAAATGAGCTGATTTGGCAGTGTTGAGTCCATCGTCACTTGGTTGGTATCAGTAGGAGTTGGATATGGCTCCCTGCAGAAAATATATTACCTTTTAGTCTTAGCCTCTTTCTTACTGTATAAGAATATGTTGCTTGATTTTATGTTGTATTAGCTTAACCTGATTGTCAGGAATTTGGTACCAATTTTAGAGGGTTGATATCAAATCGACATCATGGTGTAATACTTGATCAGTTCTTTAGTTTATGCTTTTCTGAGTTTGTGGAAAGGTCCATAATGATTTCGTTTTAGGGCCTGTTCGGTTTGCTCAAAAAAAAATGAGAAAACACCTGCCACCTCACATTTCAAGAAATCCCCCATGTGCCACATAGGTTTTTGGTTTCAAGGGTTTTCCATTTCTTCAGTTCGGTTCGTTTTGAAATTTAGAGAAATGAAACGCCACGTAGGATGCCACATCACATTTTTAAGAAATGTGTTTTCACAACAAAAACCTCTGAAAACACTTGGAAATGTCAATTCAATGAATTTTTAATATTTAAAAGCACTGTTGGAACAATGAATGGGAATTAAACAGATTATTTAAATGTTTCCATTTCTCTTTCCTTTTTTTTTGTTCAAACGAACACAAGAAATAGAAAACACATGCACTGTTACTATTGCGGCTTTTTTGTCTCTTTATGTGACTTGGCGGTTTCAAGGGGTGATTTCTTTGCGAAACGAACACAAAAAATGAAATGTGGGAAAACTCTTGAAATGTCATGATATCAAATGAAATGTGACATTTCCATTTATTGTTTTTTTCGGAAAACAACCGAACAGGCCTTATGGGAAAACCATATGGTTAATGATACAACATGAATTGGTGATACAGTCCCGTGTTAAGCACAAAACAAAAGTTTGCAGGCTTTATATTTTCTATTTGTTTAAGAATGCAACTAATGAAATATTGTTAACCCTGAAACATTAGTTCAACACTGTTGAAGTGTCATCATCGCTACGATCTTAGCTTGGAGCTGCAGTTTTACAGGAGTTTTGCAATACAAAGTGCATACAAATGAAATAAGTGGTACTAGAGGGAGAAAGTGGAAATAAAATTGATAGTGCGTGACATAATTCGTAAATGGTTCTAGTGCAACATGAACACAAGAAATGATCAAAAGATTTCATCCCACTCGGGAAAATAATAGGAGACCATTGGCCTTGCTGCTAGCTGAAGGTATATGCCCTTTCAGCTCCTTGGCCTTTGTCTCAATATAAAATATAATACCAGGAATGCACATTTTGAGTATATACGAGGATTGAAGTTTTCTCACCTAATTTGCTCCATCTCCCTCATTTACAATCCAGTTCATGCATACCAATTTGTGGTTCATTCTTAATGCAGATCACCAAAATGACTGATCCAATAAATAAAAGAAGAGAACAAGTGACTAATTGATTCAATAAGTTTTTCTGCTACATTTATCGTTAATATTAGATTTTTCATAATACACTTATACTTTTTGGCATGTTATGACTTTAAAATTTAAATTTAAAATTTTGGTTATTTAATGCAATTAGATTTGTGATCATAGTTTTTAAATTTAGATCCTTTGCTTTCTGTTTTTTTTTGAAAAAAAATGAAAATTTCTATTACCATATCCCTTAATTTGATGTACTCTAAATTTCTAATGTATTTGTGCGCCATATTTCTGTCTAACACGTACAAATAAGACATGTATAGATATTGGCATGACACTACGGATATTCCAAGTATATAATGAGCTGATCACAGATCTGATGAAGCTTACTCCCCTTCTTACCACATGTACCTGTATCATGAGTCCTTGCACACCCCGTATCTGGCCAACTTGTATGATTATTGACTCCTACTGGGTATAGTTGTTGGACTACTCATGGAATAAGATGGAAATTGTGAGAAAGTACTTGAAAATTTCCACTGTTACATATAACTTTAGACAGGTTAGAGAATGTCTACTGAATGACCCCTTAGAGCCTCTGCTAACCCTAATACAGGGATGATAACACTGGGTTGGCATGAATTATCAAATAAAGATTCTCTGTAATTCCAGGTACCATTGTTTTACTGTGATGAGCATTATTTCATTTATGTACTTAATTGCAACTCATAGATCATCAATTATTGCTTTATTACGAGTTAATGCTATTTGGTAGATCTTACTTTTCATTGCAATATCAGCTTGTCTCCTCATGCCTATGAAGATATGAAGCATATTTATGGGCTTTGACCCCCCCCCCCCCACACACACTCTCTCTCTCTCTCTCTCTCTCACTCACTCACACACACACACACATTGTTAAATGACTTTATATAGTTGTACTTAACAATCTATTCAAAAATCTTCTGATTATATGCAGACATGATCATGTGCGTATTCCGATTCATGAGGTTATCTTTTCAACCCTTGATAAGCCCAAGCTACTTTGCCAGGTAGGAAAAACATCTCTCTCCCACATGGACAAACAGAGATTCTCTACTAAGCTGGATGTCAGGTTCCTAATTGATTAGAAATTAAAACCATAACTCACATGGTCGTGCTTGAATCAGAATAAGTGTTCCTTAGTGATTCACGATGCTCTGTACTATGATGAATCTCACTTCTATAGGTGTCATAGTTTTAGAGGCAAAGATGATGGAACTGCATGATATCCACAGTGTCATATGAATATTTGCTGGTTCTCTATTTTCATGTTCGTTTGACTACTATACCAATATTATAAGTTCCGAGAGCTATGTGTTTTCTCTTTCATGGTATATTTCTACAGGTAGTGCTAAGCTTATGTTGCAGACTTGCAGTAAACAACAAGTTAATTTATCTTACTGAAATAGCTAGTTAATTAATTAAGTTAATTATGTGCTTTGGAAGATTTCACATTGTTAAATATGTTACTATTTGTATGAAGTTTCTGAACTTTTGATATTTCCTCTTAGTTGTCCGCATTGCTCTCTGATATTGGGCTAAACATCCGGGAAGCTCATGTTTTTTCCACAACTGATGGTTACTCTTTGGATGTATTTGTTGTTGATGGATGGCCTGAGAAGGTAGGTTTCACTTTTACTTCACTGTGGCCAATTTGTTTGCGATTTCTTAGGCTTTTACAAAATATTTTCATTCTGCACTTTATAGTTTAATTTAGTATTTAATTAATTTCATTAGTTTTTCTAGCATGTGCTAGGCACATTTAGTAGGGGCGCAAACGGATAGGATATGGTACTTACCACACCTATATTCATTTACCAATCAAGGATACACATACATATACAGTTACGTCTCAATAAGGAAAACTCATAACCATATCCACGGGATACAGATATACATATCGAGATATACACGCTGACACAAAATAGATATGAGAAAATCAGATATGATTGGAAAAAATATATATAATTCATATCATACAAGAGAGTTCATTAATATGATCATTGTATCTGAAAACATAAGACTAGATCCCTCGATTGTCAATAGCCTCATTTCCATTAATCTAAGGTTAAAACAATTGCAACTATATGGTCAACATATATTCGGATATGGATCCATATATTTTACTACATGTCCTTATCCACAACTATATCCTATCGGATATATCTATTTAGTAACCACATTTGCACCCTAACAGACACAAACATTTTTCTTGCACCCCTAAGATTTAGAGATTTAAAAAAAAAAGAAAATTAGTTGTGAAAGACAATTATATATCATACTATGAATATCAGATAAATTTGGCAATATCAAAAGCAGTCATATTTTCTTTCTAAGGAGAAAAATTGATTGTAGGAAGATATGGTTTTGTTGATTCTGATCTAGATCTAGTTATATCACGATTTATCCAAAAAAAAGGGGGAAAATAAGTATGATATACCAATGTTGTCTAAGTGCTTATCCAAAAGATAGTAAGTAGGAGATTCAAGATCAAACTAATTCTTTATCTACTTTATGTGTGACATGGTTTATCTCTAAAGGGACGTAAATAGGAGAAGTTATAATATAGTTGATATTAGTTCAATTGTTTATCCAAAAGAGAGACATTTTATTAGAAGTAACATACTATTATATGTTTTACTTTCATCTTCCTAAAATTTGGCATATAGGCCCCAAAAATTCTAGTTTGTATTCAAAGGATTGGTTGTTGTTCCTAAAGTCTCAAATCATGACTGTAAAATTTCAGTTTTGAAAAATAAAAAAACACTATTATTATGAAGAATGAATGACTGTAACAATAGCTGAGAAAATGTCTCTTACATAAGTACCATGTCAGATTCATATCCTATCCATTTGCGTCCCTACTTCTTGGGGTTTTCTTTGCTAGTTCATATTGGGGGAGCAGTGCCAAAACACCAGAAACAAAAGAAAGGAAAGAAGGGAGAATAATAGGAGAAAAAAGTCTAATTTTACAAGAAATAGGATGATTGTTTGTTATTTTAGTTTCAGATATGCAAGTATCTTTTGTGTAACCTATGATGGCTAGATAATAGAATGTGGGCTATGTAGGTGGGAATAGGAAAGAATTTTGAAGGTTACAAACAATGTAGAATACCATAAGCAACTGAAAAGATGGGAAAAGAATAGGTGGAAGAGATATGTGGCCTCATTCTTCATAAATCACATATTTTTTAATATCTTCCTTTCTGATATTTTATTGAACTTATGCCTTTTATAGGTGTGGATGATAAAACAGACTACACTTTGGATTCCATAATTGGACTTGGTCTTACTGATTCAATTGAGACCACATGTTGTCTTATTAAACCTGTCATTCCCCATAATTGATGTCATTATGAGCAAGGAATTAACCAAGTTCTATCTTTAAAAGAGATCACAGAATCTAGAATAGTTACTGACACACTTATCCCCTCCCCCCAGCGCCCACAGACACGTCAATCCATGAGTTTAAATTGTCAAGGCATAATGAAATTAATACTTAATAGACTTAATATGCAACATTGATGCAGAAAAGCTATTTTGGTTTCGAAATTGCCTTAGGCTAGTACTAGTAGTCAAGCTTGTGGTCGTAAAGTTTGGAACAGAAGTAGGATAGTGGTGCATAGGTTAGCCTCACAGAGAAATACGTATCGTGTTATTGACTTATTTAACTCTTGTTAAATAACAAAATAAAAAACCCCTTAAACATAGATGTTTGTATTCTCAATTTAGTTCTTGCCATTTCTTGATCTCAGGAGTTTTTTGAATGACATTCTCCTTCCATGTTTCGATAATATATATTTTGACCCCATATTTGTGTACCAGCTGATGGGTGGTGGGACAATGGTTATATAACTGCCTCTACTGCTAAGTTGCATGAATACAGGTGGGGGCAGGGGTGTGGACATGGCTGAAATGCATTGGCAGAAACCGTAGTTCTGAACTAGAAACACTAAAACAACCCTTTTCAATTGGAGCTCTAAATTGAATATGTGCAGAAATTTTTCATCAAGTTTTGCAAAGTGGATGTGAGGTGTGCGGTATATGCCCAAGAAGTGTATGACGAGTATCTAAAAATAAAATAAATATTGTGTAATTGAGTACATATTGGAATAAATGTAAGCATATATTCAAGGAGTGTCCAAGAAGTTCCGGTGTCGTTTATGGGTCCAATACGTGTTGGGTACAGGATGTGTTGTGTACGGGTTCAGTACCCACACAACTTAGTTATACCATAACATTTAACAAACAAAGAATTGTTTCTTCTGGAGGACCTTGTTAATTTGATATTAATCTTAGTGCAGTCATTTTAGAGCATAGCTAATCGGTCTCAATAATTTTTTTGAATGAATTTGTTTAATTTTTTCTATCCTTCTACTGTTATCTATTATTTTGTATAATGGCTCTCCATACTTATTTCAATGAATTTGTTTAATTCTTTATCGTTCAACTGTTATTTCTTGTAGCACTTTATGTTTTCTTGTGGATGAAACAAAGAGTAGTCCTTTCATTTTGTGGGGGCTTGTATGAGCTCTTTAAGGGGGTATTTCTGAAACCCAATTCTTCCTGACTTTGTAATGATGTGCCTAGGGGACCGATGGTTTGCATAAAGCACTAATGGAAGCAATCACAAAAAATGAGGTACTTTTGTGATTATTCTATAGATATTCTCGCTTTTCTATGTGATGTAGGCGTATAGTTGCTTTCCCTTTCAGTATTTAAATTGCTTACCTTTTGCAACAGCTTTCTCGACTTTGTTGAGGTGATGCATTGTTTGTTTCTAATTTCTTACCAAATTGTTCATATGAGGTGATGCGTTGTTTGTTTCTCGACTTGCCTACCTTTTGCAACACCTTTTGCAACTCTACCGTTTTCTTTCACAATTTGCACCTAGAGATAACACCAGCTACATTTGTTAACATTAGTCAACATCATTGATTTTTGAAATTGTCTGTGATGGAGGAGCTCGAGTAGGTAGGCAAGTCAAGGAGAGTTGGTAAGTCATTTCGCTTGCAAGCGAGAGGTCAATAAGTGCAAGACATACCACAACCACCATAATGAGAGGAACTTTCTCCCTTACTCGAAACAACCTAGCGTGTGCAAAATGCACGTGGAATAAAAAAGAATATATTTTAAAAAAGAATTTTTTTTCAGTTTCAAAATATGGATGTAATGAGATCTAGTAATCTGCTTCTTATGGAGTTAATCTTTAAATTTGGATACATAGTCTCTTTGTGATAGTTTCTTGGACTATTGTATATATTTTAAAAAGTAAATTAAATCTAGATACATTTCCTTACTGATCTAAGCATGATACATATTTAACTTGTTAATTAAATTTAAATAATTCCTTTCCATAATATAATCAGGAAAAAAGATTGGAGTTAGAGAATTCGAGAACTAAACCAGAATTTGGTGACTGGATTTAGATCCATAGGTTGATCTCGAAAACACATGGTCCTCAAAAAATATAATATTTGTGCATGTGGTTATGTAGAATCTTATTCAACTTTTACAAGTAGAAGCCATTATTTTAACTTTTTTTATTGTGTTGTATATATGTTGAAAGGTTATTAAGTAAAGCATATTAGTTCTCTTTTTGAGAATCATTGATGTGTCTCACTCTATGACGTTCTTTTTCAATTCTAATTACCATATTTAAGATAACCGATTAAAATTATTGGTAAGGTTGTTTTTAAAGAATCTTTCTTTTTTAAATATTAGACGAGAGTTCTATAAGGAGGGGAAATGACATCTTATCTTTGAGGGAAATTTCTCTTTTGCCTTCATTGTTTGAATATCATGTCAATTGTCCTTAAATTTTGCACTACTCTGATTATGGTTTTTTATGAAGTAATGAGAGAGAGTATGAGCACCCATCTTATATAAAAATAAGGAAATTTTTTTTTCTCGGTGATCATGTACGATTGAATGTATTTGGGAAATTGCAACACAAGGTTGATGTAATCTCATTTTGCCCAATCTTTCTTGATAATTTGTAGTGTTTGTGGTCTGGGTCATCTCGTTCATCAGCCATAGAAGAGATACTGGAGATACAAACAAAAGTTGGTGGCTGGGAAATAGACAAACGATCATTGAAGATCGGAGAGAAGCAAACATCTGGATCTTGTGGAGACTTGTGAGTTAAAATCTATTTCATTCGAATCACTTTATGCTAATAATATTACATTATATCAACGTTATATTTTCTCCTTTTGTCTTGGTGATGTATAGGCATCATGGAACTTACATGGGGCAGGATGTTGCTATAAAAGTCATTTGCTCCGAGCACTTAAATGAAGCTCTTGAGATAGAGTTTGCTCAAGAAATAATGATTTTAAGGTTTGTTATTGAATAAAACTTATCACTTCTTGTAATCTTAACATCTCATATATCTCTTCTAGACTATTTCACTATCTTGTGGAATAAAAGGGGTCGCTCCTCTCTCACACATGCTTAAATTACATTACACAAAATACCAAGAAAGAAAGAAAAAAATAGAGCAAGTCTATCAATTGATCGAAATGAATGTTGAGATTTTTTTTGAGAACTATCACTGCTTATGGTTGTCTTAGTTGTGCAGTAGCCGCAGCTTATTGAGGGTCGATATAGGCTGATTGATTGTAAAACTAGGTTAATTATTTTTTCCTAGAGCTTGCTTGATGATGACATACCCCATGACTGATGCATATTGGGATCTAGTTAGGCTACCCCAGTAAAATCAATCCACTATCTGAGAAAGTACCAAACTCCCAAGTTCGTCAAAGCTATTTCATCCGATCCTACCCGATCTCACCAAGTCGTAAAGACAATACAACCTATCAACCTCTTAGTTACTCTCCCATTTAATCTATATCAAGACTGAGAATTCTAGTTAGATCAAGTAACCCTCTTCTACGGGTTTAAATTCATTGTAAACAATTAAGATGAAAATACGTCCCTAGACAATAGAGTAGAGCTTCAGCTGATAATGCCAATGTCCATACGAATATCCCCTCTTAGTTGTAGCTTGGATGCCGTCTTCAAACTCTCAAGAGATCTAAGATGAAAAGTTCCAAGAATAAACCTTCAATGTAAAGCTCTAGCTTTTGTAATCTCTCTCTCTCTCTCTCAAACTCTATATATAAACTAAACAATTCGACTCCTCTTCTCATTAAGGAAAACAATCCTTGAAGTCCTTCTATACAACCCTTGAAGTCCTTATATAGAAATACAAACGAATGACTCAGATTATATCTCAAAAATCAGATCAACAAAACAATGATCGCCAATGTTTTAAATGTCGGATGTTGGGTTCATGTCGGACGGTTGAAATCCATGTCGGATAGCGGAAATCGGGGATATATCGGGAGACATGGACTAAATATCGGATTGTCATATCGGGTGGTGCGCATATGTATAATATCATGTTCTAAATATAATCTAAGCATTCCTAAATTCAATATAAGCATACTTTATAAACTCTAGAGGCAGCACCGACGATAGGTGAATTCCGACGTCGCAGGGAAGCGGTGTCAGGGCTCTTCTTCTTCTTCATCGTCTTCTTGGGGTCCTTCGGATGAGTCACCGAACAACCTCTTCCCTTTATCCCTACGACGGGATACCCTACCGTCTTCGGGTTCGGTTGGGGTTCAGATTTTGTGGCGCAACGGGAGATGGACGACGGGGGCCGAGATGGAGGTGGGGGAAGGACATCGTCGTTCACGAAAGGAGTGATCGGTTCCTAAGTCCGCTGTAGCCCTAATTTTTCTCTTTTCTTTCTATCGGGTTCATAAGAAACCCTTAAACATGAGAATGAGTCAAACAGGTTTGAGTTTTTATCACTAAACCTAAACCCGATAACAAAAAAAACGGATCTAAAAAAAAGGGTCATATCGGCCAATTTTTCAAGGCTGAAAAATCGCCCGATATGACCCCGATATTTTCGATTTGGTCTTAAAAACCGACATACGAGTTGAAAACGCCCATGCCGTGTCGCTCAATCCCTCAAACCAACATGTCCGTCGACCTTTAAAACCTTGATGGTCGCTGCCCAGATCACCATAAGCTGGCTTTGCTGTCACCAAAGCCAGCTTTGTAACATTTTCCAAAACCCAGTGTTTCAGCCTTTCAAGTTTTTATCCAAATCCAACTTTGCAGTTGGTAAAGCCAGCTTAAGTTTAGTATAGCTGACTTTGTAGAGTTCTAAGCTAACTTTGTGATGTTATTCCAGAGCTCAGCCTCCCGTCAACTATCCTAAGCCAACTTTACAGTGCGTAAGCCGACTTTGTGATGAAAAGCCAACTTTCTAGATCCCTTGAGCCGGCTTAAGCTGATGCTTAATGTGTAGACTTTTCACTTGCATCAAAGCGACTTTCCATATCACCCAAAGTTGACTTTAGCTTTTAGTCATCTGAAACGAAGTTCAACCTATAGAGTACATGTTATAGCGTGCACATCACAACTCAAAACACCATTAAATATGTATGAATGTTTGTTATTATCAAACAAAGTTGATTGTGTGATCTACGTTCAACAATGTATTTTTTGATGAAAAAAAGGCTGATATATATGCACAAAATTTTCCTTGCTGAACTATCCACTGATTAACAGAGTAATCCAAGCTAGTATGTTTGTAGGTAGTTCATCATTTTACCTTGCCACCTACTGAACTATGCCTATTGATTTATCTTTGAAGGGAAATCCAACATAAGAATGTTGTTCGCTTTATTGGAGTATGTACAAAGCCTCCACAGTTCTGTATAGTCACAGGTAATCTTTTATTAAGATTGTTTAAAATTTCACCTTATTATACAAAACATTGATTTTTGATGACTTCACTGTAGGTCAAAGCATTTAAGTTAGTAAGTTATTATCTGTACTCTCTGATTTATAGTATATGTACTCCTAACTCCTAAGTTATTACTATTTTTTTGGTTATAGATATGAATAAGTTTCTCTTCTCATAGGGTCTGATATTAGCTTTCACATATTTTCTGCTGTCACTTGTGAACTCATTCATATAAAACAAGAATATATATATTACCAACAGTCTATTATTGCTTCAATGGTACAACCATTTCTTTTTATATATCTAGCCTAAATAAATAGGAAACTTAAGATTAAGATGATCTGGAATGGAAATGAGGGAATGTCCACAATAGCTAGTTTTAGTCAGATACAATTTGAGGGGTTTTGTAGGTTCATTAATCACGAGTAGGTTCATTAATCACGACTTGGCAGAAGAATTTCATAAGTTTCCGATAATTTACATACTGGGAGGAATGTGTTCGAAAATCTTGAGCCCTATAAGATTGGTGGAATTTGGCTTCATCTAAATCTTGAACTAAGGCGTAAGCTCTCTCAAGGGTGTTTACTTCTCTAGCAAAGAGTTCGGTTTGGATGTCACTTCTCAATCCAGCTCTAAACTTTGTCAAGACTTTCATCGGTGCCTCTTGTTCTATGGTGCTGCATCGAGTAAATAATTCCTCAAATTGAACAACGTACTCTTTTGCGGATTTAGTTCCCTGAGTAAGACGATGCCACTTGTCTAGTAATCTATGATAAAACGATGGCGGAAGATATTTTCGTTTCAGTTCGTCGGTCATTTCTCGCCAAGTAAAAATTGGTAACTCACCTCTAATATGTCTCAACATTTCGAGGTTTGACCAATATTGATAGGCGGGTCTGGTGAGCTTCATTACGGTAAACTTGACTTTGCAGGTTTTCGTCAAAGCGTACCAATCAAAGTACCGATTCATGTTCTTCAACCAGTCCAAGAAAGCTTCTGGGTCGAGCCTACCATCAAAGGTTGGTGGATCAGGCACGGGTTGAGGTGGGGGTCGATGAACGATGTACCCATTCCCTTGACCTAGCGGTGGCGGATTTGTAACGCGCGCTTCTGCGAGCCTAGCAAGCCTTTCATTGGTGTCGTCATATCGTGCTGTTAGTTTAGCGAATTTCTTAAAGAGTTCGGACTCTACACTGCCTGACGGCCCTGACATGCTTGACTCACTAGTTGACTCACTTGACTCTCCTAATTGATAGGGTAGACCTGTGCGAGTGGGCATGCACTAACAACTAGATGGGATGAATGGTGTGCACAAACAGCTAAATGAGATGAATGAGATTTTTTTAATATCAAATAAAAGAATCAACTAATCTAAAATAAAAAAAAATTCTTACCTAGAACCATGCTCTGAAACCAAAAATGATGCGAAACGATGACAGGGGGTCTGTCAGAATCAACGATCTAAATCGAATAACGCATCGTTTCGCCAAAAATGATCTTCGATAGGAAATTAAATTCAAAATGATTAATGTGACAGATGGATTTTAATAAGATTTGTATCAATAATCATGAAAAATTCTAATCTCAAACAATATAACCGTTGTATTTATTATCATTTCGCAAGTTCTAAAATCAAGATCAGATCTGCAACAGTCACGTGTTCAGTTGCTCTCTACTCATAAGTATAATCTTAGCAGTGAATATAAGATAAGAGTTTAGAGATGGTATACTCGTGCAATTAACTAGCAAAATGAAATTAACAGAAAAATAAGGGACGAAAGAAAACGAAACATTCGTCTGTCTGAACAGACTCGACGTGAAAGACCTCTGGAGGTGGTACGACGACAACGGTGAACTGAACGACGATGACGAGACGGAGATCTGATGATGACGAGTGCGACGGTGTTGAAAAACGAGGCGGGCGTCGGCAAATTGGATGACAACGTGTGCGACGACGTCGAACTGGGCTATCAAGTGGCGACAGGTCGACGGGTCGATGAGTGTACTGGCGATGACAAACGGCGTCGACTAAGCGATGACCACAACGTGTGAACTGACGGCGACGAGGGTGACGATGAGGACGACGGCGTCGACTAGATGACGGTGCAGGCGATGACGTCAAGCGGGAAGATGATGACGGCGGTGGCGTTGAACTGAACAGTGACACAATCGACGATGTCGAGATAGTAGATGATGAAAACGGAGAGGACGCGGGTGGCCTGTCGGGTCGTGACTGGTAGTAGGTGTCGGGATGAGGTCAGCGGCGGCGTTAGGATGCTTGGGAGTGGAGTGTAGGAATTCCGGGGGCTACTCGGAGTAGGAGCGGTGGTTGGTTGAGAGGGATGAAGAGGAGTTGGGAGCTGGGTTTGGAAATTGTTGACGTGGGGGAGAGAAGAATTTGGTGGCTGTGTATGAGGAGAAAGAAGGTTTGTCGGCTATTTGTGGCAGAGGAGAACAATTTGGCCTAGGGTTTCACACCCAAGGCTTCACACCAAAATTTAGCTAACAAATATTTCTTCATTTAATAATTCATTGCCTTTTAATAGTCTCATACAACCTTATTTATAAAAAAAATTACGTGCACACAACGTGCAATAAAAAATAGAAACAAAACAACAATCTCTCAAATCACTCAACTAAATTTCAAAATTCAAAATTCAAAATTCAAAATTCAAAATACAAAATTCAAAATTCAATATTCAAATTTCAAATTTCAAAAATAAAAAATAAAAGAAAGTCAACTAATCAAATATGGAAATTGCCATTTCTTGTCCTCATCACAAATCTTCGCAAAAAGTGCATTTTGTACTTTTATGTTTACGAGCTGAAGTTCTAACACATGAAAGTCAAAGTATATACTTTATTCGATACAAACCCCGTTTTCTTGAGGATCCACTATGATAATGAGAAAGATTTCTACATATCTGATCGAATCGATCAAGAATATTAGAATCCGATAAAGAGGCCCAGATCGGCTTACTAATAGGATGACCCGATATGGTACAAAATTTAGCTTTATCCAAGGATCAAATAAGAAGAATAACCGGTACTATGGTATCTAGTTTCTTAGTGACAGTATATATTAGAAATGAAGTCTCTAACACTTGATTCCATACTGGTGAAAAATTTATTAGTAGACTTGAAAGATAACCCAGAAAATAAAAAGAATAGTTTGATAATTGGTTTATATGCATAATGAGCCATGTGAGCCCTTCTGTTGGCATGCATTATTTGAGTTCTGAGGGCTAATAGTAATCTATGAACCAAAGTTTAACCAAGTTTTATCTCTTGACTGGTGTGGCATTTATGCTATGTAATCTACAGTTTGATGCACAGTTAAATCCTCAATATTTAGGTGTCTGTCCTATGTTCATGAGAGATTTGAACAGAAGACTGAGTTTTCCATGGATACTGTAACTACTGGTCCATTTCTCTCAAGTCCGTGTTGGGATAGCCTACACTTGTTGGCCCTCCTAATGTGGACTCTCAATATATAGGTCATATGGAAACGAGGCCTATGGCATCATTGTAAAGAGTACTTTGCAGTTGCTCCCTTTCCTACTATTGGATCTGCAATTAGTGCAAAAATTCACACAATAATCTCATGTTTCATTTACTCTATCTCTCTAAATGTATGTATTTATGTGTGTGTGTGTGCGCTTGTGCCTGGGTGGGCGCAAGTGGTACTAGGTATAAGGGATTGAATAAAAGTTACGGAGCATTTAAATAATAAAACTGAATATAGAGGATTATGAGCACATTGTCCCCTATATATCTATGATCGCGTGGCGTGTGATTCTAGATATAAATGGTTGAGTGAAACTTACAGAGCGTTAAAAGAACAAAACTAAATATTGAGGAATATGGGTACATTGTTCCGTATATTGTTTCTAGTGTTAAGCTAGTTGACTGAATGATGTTGTTTTCTTTTCCTGCAGAGTACATGCCTGGAGGAAATCTCTATGACTTCCTGCACAAACATAACAATTTTTTGGAGCTTTCTCAGTTGCTAAAGTTTGCCATTGATGTCAGCAAAGGGATGGAGTATTTGCACCAAAGCAACATTATTCACAGGGACTTGAAGACTGCTAACCTGCTGATGGATGCAAACAATGTAAGTGTATATATATGTAAGGACTATAGTGTCTTTTCTTTATGTCTTATTATTACAGGTACATATAGAGATTTGGAATTACTGCCTGATTCTGGACTAATCTGATAACTCATTGGATAAATAATCATAACATGGTGCCCTGTCTCAAGCCAATAATTGGGCTACAGAACCAAGATGCAATTTTGCTTCTTTTTGTTCTGAGTTCTTGGAGAGTTATACCATCATTGTATTCTGTCCTAATTGGAGGATATATGCCAATACAGAAAGAAAAGTGAGAAAATTTAACTTCATAAATGTTTCTACAGTGATTGTTTGCGGAAAAGTCCCAGGTAGATGTGTTTGGGAAGTAGGACGCAATCTTCTAACAATTTGGTGACAGATTGACAGACTGCAAAGAAATATAATTTCCTGTCAGTAACCATTTTATCCCAAAATTTACCTGTAGGATGGTGTCTAACAGTGTATATAAAGCAAAATGAACACTTCCCATAACATGGCTTTGCCCCCCAGAAAGGCCTTCAGCATAACATGATTTATAAATGTAAGATACTTGGGGTTAAACTGACATATTATTTCTAAACTGAGAATCTCTTGAAACCTAATGCTCCAATGTTGTGTTAGATAACTCCTTTACTATTAACTTGTTATAAGAAGCTTTACTTCATTCCGTTGGAGATCTACAGGGAATGAGGAAGGGATCTGCGCAAAAATCTTCTTGAAATCTTGGATGTCTGTTGTTTGGAAAGTTTAGGGTTGAAGCTAAATTAATAGTAAGTAACATGCAGCTTTATTAGCTTGGCCGGTAAAGTTGTGGCAAGTTTATTATGATAGCAGGACAAGTTCATTGAACAGTACTAGCTTGCATTGCTAGATATCTATAGGCTAAAAAATCGTTTGAGATAACCACTTTGTCCAAAAGCTTAAGTTGGCTGGTTCCTAAGCTATATGAAACCAACCTTGACTAACAGTTAGCAATTTGCAGTCTTCTTTTTTCGTTTCATTCTTTTATTAAATCCAACAGAGGCATTATGATCTTGCAACGGACCTTGCTTTCCTCTCAGTTCACAATAATTATCTCTTAACAAGTCTAGAACGTCGTGGTTTGAAATTTGTGCTCAATGCAATAACTCATGTTGTAGTTATTTATTGGCATCATGAATCTGTTTTTAGAAAACATTTGTGGTAGAATATTCATTGCATGTATTCCAAGCTGGCATTTATTTTATATTGGCACATTGTTTCATAAAATTTGACGGCACCCGTTCTTGTGTCGCTCTTCTAAACTTGTTTTGCACATGGAAGCATCATATCCTGCAAAAGGATTTACATACTTCAGATGATAATCTTTGCCTATGTTGGCATAATGGGTAATATATGCAGATCTATTTTAAATTAATGATACCTTGCATGTTTGTTTTGGCCATCTAGGTAGTGAAGGTTTCAGACTTTGGGGTAGCTCGTTTTCAAAGTCAAGGAGTAATGACGGCGGAAACTGGAACATACCGATGGATGGCACCTGAGGTAGTTATTTATTTATCAGTTTATTCCTTTTTTGTTAAGTAGAAAACTTAACTAGCTAAATATTTAAAGTTTTTTAATTTTGCAAAGTTTCAAATTATAAAAGGAAAAAATAACTTTCACAGGAATTTATAGTTTTATTGTATGGAGGCTTAGATCCTTTTCAGGGGAGTGGATAAGAAAATAAATTATATTTAAAAAGATCAATTCATGCAATTTGTCCCATTCATATTGTTGATGCAAGACCACCTGGAGCCATGCAAATAGTGTTAGTCCAAGTGGACCAGATACATTTGACTCTGGGGATAGAACTGCGTTGCTGGGCATGAGAGAAACTCACACTCACATGCCATCTTATCATGGTTCCTGAAGTTCAGCATATGCACTCTTCATTATCACCTAGAGCACAATACATGATTAATGTTTGCATGCTTTTCCTTTTCTACAAGGTCATCAATCATCAGCAGTATGATCAAAAAGCAGATGTGTTCAGTTTTGCAATTGTTCTATGGGAGTTAGCAACATCTAAGGTAAACTAGGGTCCTCTGCATTAACTACTAGAATCTGGTGGGCAATTTGAAAAGCATGTGATTTGAAATAAATTATCAGGTAAAGTAATCTATCTATTTTTCTTTGCAGGTCCCTTATGATACCATGACCCCCTTGCAAGCTGCTTTAGGAGTGAGTCAGGTTCGTACTCCTTCAATTTCTTTGAGATTTTAGGGCAACCTCTCCAGTTTTTGTAATTTAATCCATCAACATTTCATGTCTTAAGCTTTCACATTGATATTACACAAGGTGTAACATTGCGCTTTTCTTGAAAGTGAAAGAAATATCAAGGCCATTGAGCAGAGAATTGTATAGGACATACCTTAGTAAGATATTGTAGATCTTCGTTGCAAGAAAATTTGTGAAATATACTAACCAGCGAGGAAGGAAAAAAATAACATAAAATAAATTTTCCCATTTGTAATATAAAATTTTAGCTTCAACTCTTGACGAATAGTTGATGTTTATAGTTAGTGTTTACATCCAACTAAAAGTATATGACATACAGCAAATTCATTTTCTTTTAAGGTAGGTTACATGAATCCTTTTTTCTTTTCCATCCAGCTATGGTAAAAACCGTATTCTTGGTTAAACTAATAACTAATTCCATTTTAACTGCCTTTGTCATTTTATATTAGGCTTATCTCTAATTCTCGTTACTTCATTAGCTCCCCTGTATCTTTTTATGTGCCTCGTGTTTATTGGGCTGTCTACAGTAGCATCTAACAACCCCTGTATAACAAACACCAGTCTCAAGAATTACTTTCTTAACTTTTGCTTATGCTCTCCCTTTATTGGCAATATCCAGGGGTTGCGCCCTGAACTTCCGGCAAAAACACACCCTAAATTGGTCGATTTGATGCAAAAATGCTGGGATGCTTTACCTGCTAAAAGACCCTCTTTTGTGGAGATCACAGCTGAGCTTGAAGACCTCTTGGGAAAGGTTCAGGTAGTTCACCCACTCCGAAACAGGGCAGCAATGCCCTTTTCATTTGGTTAGGTATCTGAAGTCTTTACCTACTGAAGATTTCTTTTATTTACCTCTTTCTATGAATTTTATTAGGCAAACGGAGGACAAGTAATTTAATTGTGAAGAGGGCATCATAGCAAACGTTTAGGAGACCGTTGAGTGGAAAACTATTTCAGAGATGGAGATGGTTCAAAGCCCGTAGAGTGTAAATGATTTGAGGCATATTTCAGTCTGCAATTTTGTTATTATCAATGCTTGAGGTCACTAATTTCGTTTATTTGGTTTCAATCTCTTAAGTTATATTTTGGGACTCTGGATTTCCCATGAAAGTTCGTGGGGGGAAAACCTACCGTTCTACTTTTATGTGTAAATATAGGCTAGTATTGTCAACGGATGAGGATTTACGAGAGGCTATCATTTTTCTTGCAATGAGATCAGTGAAATATTTCTCCTTTACGGACAATTATCATTTCTCAGTTGATAATTCTGACATGGATTCTAAGGAATTGTAAAATCTCTGAAAGTTCTGCCGCTTGTAGCGGGTAATTTGAACTTTTAGCCGATGTAGATCTGTATCTGTTATTTTTACAAAATTGGTCTGCCCCGCCCCCTTGTGAGCGCTCATGATTCCAGGTGTCCTGTCATTTTTCGCGGTCTGCATAATATTCTCATGCTTAAATTGCTAACTGCGATGCACAAGAGAGGAAGAGTACTTAGGTTTCCACGTACAAATTAAATAGCATGATTTACAAAAGAGAGAGAGAGAGAGGATGATGAAGATGATGAAACGTGACTGGTCTATGCTCTCTGATGATCTCCTTCAAGGTACCGCTGACCGTGTAGCGGTCGTTGCCATCGATGGCTACATTAGATTCCGTGCAATGTGCACGTCTTGGCGATCTGATCCCCTGGATCCCCGCCATCATCGGAAAATACCCCCTCAGCTGCCATAGTTGATGCTTTACCTTCAAGGCAGCCTCGGAAAAAACCCAATCTTTGTACCGTCACTTAGATGACAAGATCATCACCCTCAATCTCCCAGGGGTATTAATGGGCTATAGGATTTTTCAGAGCTTCTGACGGTTGTTTGGTCTTATAAGTTAATGACTCAGGAGCGCTTCATCTCTTCAACCCGTTAAATAAGGCTCATTGCCATGGGAATTACAATATGGATTTTGGAGCGGCTGGGCTATTGTGCATGATACAAGCAAGGTCGTTACGCTCCCGAAGAGGATGAGAACCGTAGTGACCATGTCATGATGGTGGCGATAATCTTCTCCCATCGATTGGCGTTTGCTCGAGTAGGGGACGACAAATGGACCGTCTTGCATAATCGTCTTGGGTACAAAGATGCATATTCTGTAGAGGCAAGCTCTATGTCGTCGTAGATCATTTTCGAGTGCTAGTAGCTGTTGACATCGGTGATCCTTCCAATATTGGGGCTACAACCGTTACCGTCTGCAAGGGACGGTTGTTGTGGTGGTTACTCGTGGTATCTGATCCTGTCAGGGGATGACCAAGTTTTATTACCGCTTGGCTAATTAATACTACGGTGAACAGAAAAGGATGTACTTATTGATGTCTGGAGAGGGGAAAAAAAAAAAATTTGTTGCTCTTATTAGTGGTAATGCATATGGAGATGCATAAGGAAAACTTTTCGAGGTCTAGAAATCAAGATAACTATAATTTTTAGTTCTTAGTGGTTGTTGAATTTACTGTTAAACCCATCGCAATTTTATTTACCGTCAAACAGAATTTTCATGTAGTGAAACTTCAGCAGGGTGTGTAAGTGCTATAAAAACCAAGCATTGAGACTAGTTGCCGATGTCTGTATATGCAATTGTTTTCACTATCTTAGGATTAGGGAGCTCTAGTTTGTAAAGCGATAGGTGATAGGTGATATTGTCAGGCATTGAGACTAAAATTCAAATGTTCTATTAGTTGCTGATCTTCAGGCTTCTGGCCATGATTTATCTCTGACTGCAACTTACTCATAGTACTTCAGCATTTTTTTTTTCAATCTATGCATGCCAATTACTAGCTTTATTACAATTCCTTACACATGAATCACTGTAGTGAATCTTTAAAATATACTATGTTAAATGCTTCATTTAAAGTTGGACTAAAACAATATAGTACCTACTCTTCTATGTTACAGGAGAATCCAAAGATTTACTATTCATGCTACAGTAAATGTTAGCATTTATAAAAAAATGTAGCATTTAAAAAATTACTATAGCAGAAATAAAAAAAAGGGACCGTGCTTTACACGGGTGCACACTAGTTATAATTGATGCCCCCATCATCTAAACCTTTACTTTCAGGGATTCCTAATCAACCAGTTCGCATGGGGTCCGAGCAGGTTTCTTTGGATAAATAGTTCTTTAAATAAATAGATTCCACCTTTTTTATTTTATTTTTTCCATTTGTGCCTGTAGCTCACGTGTTTGTTAGCTGTAAGAATTACATTTTATCGTAGCCTTTCCCAATGTTCCAAAGCGTAGTTCTATTACACATTCAGTTTGAGAGCCAGTATAATTTTATCAACTGTGCGTCAACTAATCATATTATATGGATTACATGAGCTTGAGTTTTTTTTAAAATACATATTTTACTATTTTTCATATACTATAATATTTAAGAATTCACGAAAAATAGAAAATATACTGAACAAAAAACTGACGACTGTGCAATTGAGCAATGCTTCTCCTTCGTACGTAGATCTTCGTTGGCCCGACCAGCCTCCTTAACAACCACCCATCAAAGCTCACCACCCGAAAATATCTCTTCATTATCGATCGTTTCGTTCAATCAAACTGCACAAAAGCTAGCTAGATCATGGAGTCTATTTGCGATTAACACATTTGCACATTAACTATTAAGAGAACTATGAATGAGTTACTTTTATTTAAATTTGAACATGAGCCAAAATTAATTATCTATAATATTAAAAGTACTTGAATAATTTGAATCCTTATCTGGGGATCTTAATTAGTGACTCCCCATCCTTTTTTTCCCAAAAAAAAAAAAAAAAGAATCCTTATTATTACTATAGGAATAAGAAACAGGTCACGAGAGTACAACTGCTAGGACTGCTGCTATGCAGTGATCTTTAAGGTAAGATTGTATCTGAAGAATAAAAAAATTGTTACTGTGATATGTGATAAATATGTTTTCCTTTCAAACTGCTGCTAGCACATTGGTAAGGTTTTCTACAGACATTTGAGGGGATGAAAATGAAGGTACTTGTTTGACTAGTAGTTTCTCGAATCGCTAGCAAAGCTGGAATGTATTTTATGGTGTAGTAGTCTCTCTTTGTTTAGTTAGTAATTCATCATGGTTTATGATTTCTAGTTGTACGTCATTTTATACAATATGCAAATATGTACCTAGGAGAGGAACCAGCTAGATCTAAAGATGCTGAATGATATAGCTTTTGTGCGATTTAATTGAAAGATAACGCAGGAAAGACAATGAAGGAGAAAGATTTAGGAAGGATGTCCTCGTCACCAATGATGATTCGGGAGGATTGCACT